AATTGCCTATACTCTTCTGGTCTATCTATGGCTATGGTAAGCGGTAAGTATCTTCTTTCTTCTGGTCGCAATGATATCAAACTTTTTTGAACGCTTATATCATTGCTTCCTTTCTCGTGATAATGCATTCATGATGTTTGCCTTGTTGCGCTTTTTCTTCTTTTTCTTTTGTTGGTAGTGTTTCCTCTGTAGCTTTACATGAAACAACATTAGTCATTATGTTGTATCGCAAACTTATAATACCACTGTTGCTTTTGCAGTTGTGCGTATTTGTGTCATGTTGCTTTACATCCGACTAGTACTACCATGTGCGTTGCTCATGTATGTATTTTTCTTGCAACAGCAACCAGCTTTTTTGAACATCTTTGATGTTGTGTTTGTTATGCTTTTCTTTGACTCGCTTCGTATTGTGAGTGTCTCTTTTTGCCTACATACTACTATACTCGTATAGCATTATATTCTTTTTTCTTTTATTATTATTATGTTTCTTTGAAGCATATCTTTTTTTACGTTGTGTGGATGTGCCTATCCCTGAAGCTCAACAAGACTTTATCCGAGGCTAGGAGGTAGATAGGCCGCCTCCACTTGGTTATCGCTACTTACTTTAGTGATGATTGAGGGTCTCAATGCCAGAATTTAAAAGCTAGGTGGTGTAAGTAAGGCATGCTCTAGCACCTGGGGGAAATTTGATGATAGCATCTGCTATACTGCTGTATATCGGAGCTTAAAATTTTGCCTCACATCAAAACAGGGGGAAACCCTCGCAAAATTTTTTTTAGGTCAGCGGAGTTTTCAAGCAATTTGATTGGCTGAGAGGTTGAAGCAACGAAGGTCTACAACTAGTTGATTTCCGCTTGATGTCATGTATTATAATTTTGTGTTTGTAATAAAAATATATTCAAATATTGATAAAATTTAAATCCTTCTTTATTCAAAAGTAAGATAAGGTGCAATTACTGGATCTGGCATCTATCACACGGTTTTGTGCGAGGGATATTCTTTAAATAAGTTCACTGCAGTATGTGAGGAAAGTTATATAGCTGCTGCAGTATACTACTAGGTACCAAGTATAATCCCAATGCCGTATGCCTTGCCAAACTTACATCGTTTAAGATTGACTCCCAACATTCAATTTCATGAGCTGCTGTTGCGCTGGAAAGGTTACAAGTGTCTATAAGGTTTACGTTATTCTTGATGGGTATGTGTAATACATCCACTATGATCTGCATTCCGACAGTTCATCCAGTTACCAGATTTAGATATAAACTGTATGTACACTGGATTAGATGTACAATATCGATTTATACTATAAAAAGATATGGACTTCAGATACGCTAGTACTATAAGATTCATACTATATAAGATATAGGCTATAGATGGCACCACGGACATGGATGGCACTATAGACTTATACTTGTATTCCGACATTGACTACGGATGTTTACCATATCTGGATAGGCACCAAGATTAATGCAATATGAGCTTGTTGCTTCAGATGTGCACTTCATGATCCACGCTATAAGACACATGCTTATATCCGTGATACTAGCTACAGATACTTTATGTACTACAGACTTGTACTATATATGAGACATGCTATAGACATGCATACGATATGCTATAGACATGTCATATATCCAGATACATGCTAAAGATGTATGCTCAGCGATATACACTCAAATATGTACTATTGATATAGACTAAGGAGACTGTACCTGATCGAAGTCCTCTTGACACTAGGGACAGTTTTAGTACCAAGTTTTTTCGGTCTTCCGCCAACAGGTATAGCTAGGTCAGGGCAATAGAGTTTTCTGAGCCTTGTAAGAGTACAGTTACCGACTCCTGGATACATATTTTTTTGTCTTTGAGAACGAAAGACCACGTTGGAGCAAAGATTGGAGAGTGTTGCGCAAATCTTGTGTTAAATGAGCAGACATAACGAAAGTTTTGAAAAAAAATAAGAAAGCAAAGAAATAAAGAAAAAAATATGAAAAAACTAGCTTCTTTTATACTTTTAAAATGCTCCTCGAGTATTAAATAATCTGGGCATACCGCGGGTAGTTTTTTAGATCTCTTCGATACGTTTATTGGAAGTAAAGATATCAACTATTTCATATCATCTAGAATTACCCACCTAACATTTTTGACACTTCCCACTTTGGCTGGTTATACTGGGATTAAAATATAGCCCAACCATAAGTTTTTTATGTTGCTGTAATTCCTGTTAGCTGTTCTGTCGAACGCAGTATGGGAGGGATTTTCTTTTTGAGTTTTGGCAATATACTGGGTAAAAGTCAAGATTATTTGAACGAACGGGACAGTTTTTCCCCCTACGGTAGTTGAGTTCCTATTAATGATCCGTCAATAAATATGATTTTGTGCTTGTTATAAAAGGGTAGCCAAATGAATACAATTTAAAGTCTTCTTTATATAAAAGTATGGTAAGGCGCAAGCATTTAATCTAGCATCTATTGTGTGGAATTTGAGGCTTGATAGACTAAAATTCACGGAAAAAAAAGAATAAAAAAAACAGTAATGTCAACTTGATAAAGGTATATTTTATTATCAAACTGACAGGTGTAAAGTAAACTGAAGTCTCTCTACTGGCCAGGTAGATGATCCTTCTTATATACTATAACAATGGATAAAAGTTCTATTAATTAGATTAACAAATAAGTCAACTCAGATCAACTAATGTCTAATCATGCTAAAAGACAACTCCAGCAAGCTAATCATGATTTAGCTCTGTCTGGATGAATAATTAGACTCTCATCCGAAGTACCCTGATCTATCCTTTCCATAAGGATAATTAATATCGATCTAGTAGCATGTATCCGATAGGTACAGTCTTCTTAGTCTATATTAATAGTACATATCTGAGTGTATATCGCTAAGCATACATCTTTAGCATGTATCTGGATATATGGCATGTCTATAGCATATCGTATGCATGTCTATAGCATGTCTCATATATAGTACAAGTCTGTAGTACATAAAGTATCTGTAGCTAGTATCACGGATATAAGCATGTGTCTTATAGCGTGGATCATGAAGTGCACATCTGAAGCAACAAGCTCATATTGCATTAATCTTGGTGCCTATCCAGATATGGTAAACATCCGTAGTCAATGTCGGAATACAAGTATAAGTCTATAGTGCCATCCATGTCCGTGGTGCCATCTATAGCCTATATCTTATATAGTATGAATCTTATAGTACTAGCGTATCTGAAGTCCATATCTTCTCATGATCATAGTATAAATCGATATCGTACATCTAATCCAGTGTACATACAGTTTATATCTAAATCTGGTAACTGGATGAACTGTCGGAATGCAGATCATAGTGGATGTATTCCACATATTGCACAATAGTTTAAAGTGAGGAACGTCTTTTAAAGTTATCATTAGGTAGTAGGAAAGCTATATAGATATTACGGTACTTCAACAACACAGTGGTGCTATCTGCTTAGAATAACAATTAGAACTGAACATATTTATTATTTTACTCTAAGCTTGTTTGAGGATTAAAACGAATAGTGTAAATTTCGAAGATATTTATAGTTATTATTTGATAGTGCCCCAACAGTAGGACCTTGATCTTGAATACGGGATAATTGTATTATAGGCTTTGAAGATATGCTGCGTAAACGCTCATGGACTACCAGTCAAGAACGAACAGCACTGAAGATCCAGAATAGAATGTTCTTTACAGTAGATTTGATGAAAGAACATTTGTCAGAATTTAAACATGCTTTCAGAGATGAGAAGTTATAGACTACCGTACTTCAGGAACCAAGATATAGATTAGCCATTTGATGGCACTACTCATGTTCCTTTGTGCTGCTTGAATAAAGAGATCTGAATATATCGCGCATCTCTGCTTCTGTTCGATCCTTCTCATGTATTATTCGTTGTATAATACATTTGCGTCTCAGATATGATCTATATTTTAAACAATCATCATCCGAATTAACCCATCTAATGCCTTACCCTTACATCAAGTCTTTCGATTTGAATAGTATTATATAAACCCACTGATTTTCATTATTGCAACAAATATTATTCTTTACTACTAGATTATTTCATACTCTTTTTCTAAATAATTTATTTCTAATAAATCACACTGGCTCTTTTTATGTTGGTTTCGTTGCACTTTCCTCACTTAACTTTTTGACAAACAATGTAGCAAGGGAAAGCATCGTCTCTTTCAGATGTGAACAAAAAAAAAACAATCCAGTAGCTTTACAGTCGCTCTACATGTTCAACGAGTAGGATTGAATATCAAACATAAGTTCTCTTTAAAACTTTGGCGAACCTTAACATTTCACAACATAGTAAGCTCTAACCAATATTGAAGATATTGGTTAGAGCTTATTTCTTTATATGTACAATTTAAATCTTTTCAGTTATTTCAGTAGTAATCAAGACCAATTTTTAATGCTATTTTTGATGGAATAAATACGCTCCTGGTCTTGTTTAACCCAATCTTGTACCGAGCGACTTGTTTGCAAATAGCGTTGTTATCACCAGCTCATGATGTCGGTCAAAGAATGGAATCTGATGGCGCGACATGTAACTGAGATACACAATGCGGCTTTCAACGAAGAACGGGTCTGCCCCATTTGGGTGAATTCAATAACACTGCTATCACAACGTTCACATGGAAACAGATTGTGAAATGCAAAGCAAAATAAGAGCTAAGGCAACGATTTAAGCTTTAAAACTTGGAAATAGATCGTCCACTTTTTATGGCTGATTTCTATAGATTGAAGCAAGACATCATACTGACAACACAACTAAATGGCTCCTTCATCAGAATTGAGCAACATTCAATTAATAAACAGGCTGAAAACATGATCATCATGGCTGGTGCATGGACTAAATGACTCAACGGTATACCTTCTGTGACTAGAAAAAACGCATTTAAAAGTGCCCAAGGATAGCAAATCCAAGGAACAATGAGGGTTTTCTCTACAACTACACACATTCAAGCAACAAATGGCTAAAGAACGGAAACCTATTGCTACTCGCACGAGAAATCGTACAAAATCTCAAGACGATAGCAGTAGCGCACCTCTTCGCTCTGCTCCCATTTCTTCAGCAGAATCATCGCCAAATGTTGAGAATCCACCTAATGTCAAACATAAAAAGGTCGATAAAAAGTCTAAAAAGAAAAAAAGTCGAAAGCATAAAGGCAAAGGCAAGAGCAAAGACAAAAACTACAAAAAAGATCCTGGTAAGCCCATACACTGTACAAATGGCATGAGAGATGGCTAAGCATCTCCTCGCAACAGAATTCAGAGAGCTGCAATACGAGCTGCCCTATTTACCGAAATCTAATCTCGACATCTATTTGCAAGAACTACAACAATTACCATCATCTTTCCTACGAGGCACCACATCCGAGAAGAGACGAGACATTCTTAGAAACGACCAAGATGCATACTATGATAAAACTCGCTTTCGTCCAGTAGATGATTCTGAGGACGGCTTACGCTTTTTGACGAAAGATGATATGAGTCATCATAACAAGAGCAGAGACTACTCTGTCTGTTTACATCGAGCCTTTATTAAAAAACGATACTTGTCAGATCAAGAGTGTATGCATCTGGCTCAATATGTCGACTGCGGCTTCTACACGCAATCACTTCAAGAACTGGCGACGCTCATCAAGGACGAATTGTACATGTATCGCATTGACTTTACTCAAAGACATCTCCATCATATACGCACAATGAACATAACGGAAGAAGCTTTTTTAAGTAATGAAAAGGGCCTGCAAGAGGTTCTGGAGCAACAGGTAATCATGGCATGCTCTTGTGATGAACCAAAGCTAACGCTACTTTCTCTTAGCTGAACGAGGACTACCTAAAGTATTTCTGGGGCAGCTGGATCGTTCAACCCTTTGTTGACCCAGTATCGTTCTTTTCAATCAGAGGAAATAAAAATTTGCTTGCCAAATTGACAGCTAAAACACTGATAGAGCATTTGAAGTACTTTTTTAATATCATTACGACAAAAAAACTGAACGAAGAGCTAAAGAAGATGGACAAGATTTCCATAGACATCATTCTTCCTCCGCCTCCACCACCACCACCTTCTCCTTGATAGACATCATGCTGTTGAAACCTGCATGCGGCGGTGGCTTGACATTCAGCCTCTGTAACAAACTTATCAATCTGTATTCCATTCGGCGCAACTACCCTCTTATTGTAAATAAAAAAAAAATCATCTTGTAAACATGGCAAACTTACAATCATTGCTGCTTTATTGTCGCCTTGCTCTGTAACTACTTTTCTCGTCCAGATGGTCAGATTTCCATTTCGATTGCCAAACAGGACATCAGTCAGTATGCGGTCACCCACAAAGGCAGTTTGATCTGCTGGAATAGGATCCAATCTCTTCTTGAGAAACTGCCCGCCAGACGGCTTCTTTTCATCATGTCGCAAAACTGCCACACCCAAGGACTCCTCCAGCTTTTGAGCTTCTTTGTAATCTACATCGTCTCTTGTGCCAGCAGAGTTGGAGACAATCAACACCTTGTCTTTAGAAAATGTATCTATGCAGTCCTTCCATGCTTCTTTGAATGGAGGATATATAGTCGAGACATATGGTGCTGTTAGACAGTTGTCTTTATCGAACCCAATGGCTTTGATGTTGGCATGTTGCTTGATGTGTTTGAAATTGATGTGCCGAATGTCATCCACAATGATATGTGGCATGGCTAAGCTAGGATTCAGTAGCACTCGAAACGCATTTGCTATGCCTGACAAGTTTAAACTCTGTACCATGCTGTAATTAAGGTGAGCGAAAAAGAGTGGTTCGAAAGTGGTGTGTATAAAGTCCATTTTGGATTTACAAGTCAAGTCAGTGTGTCCCTCTCTTTCTTAATTATTAACCCCTTTCTTTATTACAATATGGGTTTTCCGAACTGGGCATCAGTCATTATCGCTCTAGGAGCTGCTACTGTGCTTGTTGTTGTAGGAGATTTCATTTATAGCAAACTGACTCGCGTTCCTTTCAAAGCAGCCGGGAAGCATTGCTTTATCACTGGTGGAAGTACTGGTTTAGGAAAGTCTTTGGCTGTTCAATTAGTCAAAGAAGGTGCAGATGTTTGTATTGTCGCAAGAAGAGTGTCTGAGTTAGAGGCTGCTGTGGAAGAGATCAAGGTATGGACTATACCAGAGAAGGATTACCATAAGCTCATAGTTGTGAAAATAGGCAAGCTGTCTTAGCGAGAGCCAAAAGGTCATTTATATTAGTGCAGATGTGACAAACCAAAAGGATGTAGTGCGTGCCTTTGATGAGGCCAAGGTCAAGATGGGCCGTAACCCTGATTTCGTCTGTGCCTGTGCTGGTGCTTCATATCCCAAATTCTTTCTGGATCACACAATGGAGGATTTCGAGAAATTAACAACCTTAAATTACCTCGGTCAAGCCTATGTTGCACATGTAAGTTTACAGTTGTCAATCCAAGCGTGATCACTAAGCAAATTCGGTACAGCAAGCTGCACAACGCATGAGAGACTCCAGCATCAAGGACGGCAAGATTGTCTTTATTTCATCCATGCTGGGTATGATTAGTTTTGCTGGATGGGCTACCTATTCACCTACCAAATACGCTATTCGTGGATTGGCCGATACTTTGCGCAACGAGCTCAAGAGATACGCCATTGGCGTCCACATCTTCTTTCCTGGTGGTATTGAATCTCCTGGGTTCGAGATTGAAAATCTAACAAAACCCCAAGTAACCAAGATTATTGAAGGAGCTAATACACCACAAACGGGTGCCGAGTGTGCCAGATCCTTGATGAAGGGTTTGCATCAAGGCCAATACATGATTGTCACTGATGCTATTAGCGAAGTGCTGCGTTGTGTAGTCAGAGGTGTCAGCCCAACCAACAACCTGGTTCTCGATTACATTTTAGCCGCCATTGGACAGGTAAGAAGGGATTACATGGTATTGTTTATTTTACTGATGAGATACAATCTACAGCCTTTCGGATCCGCATTTGCATTGTATGCAGATTATGTTGTCAAGAGCGCAAAATATGATAAATAAAGGCTATGTTTCTTCTTTTGCCTTTGAATTGGGTGGTTTCTCTTGCTTGTTCTTGCGCAAATCAGCAAAACCAAGGTTTCCCATGTCATCTTTATCCATCAAACCACTAACACAAACACATTCAGAAACAACATCCATGCTATAAATACACGCGAGCCCTTACTTGTCCATGCGACATTGCAAATAGGCTTCTGAGAATTGACGGCATAACCCATTATTGTTTTTATTTTCTTTCAAGCACTTGACATAATCCTTCATGAAGGTTCTGCATTCACCTAAGAAAATGCATCAGCAAAGTAATCCCACCCTAGTTTGATTGGATACAGTACCATCATGATCTAAAGGGAAACTGCCTCTTAATGGAGCTTTTCCTGGTGAAGATTCGATATTGGGAGGTCTGCCAAAACTCATATTTATAATTTAAACAAGGGGTGAGAGCAAGTTTGAAAGAAAGAGAAATTGAAATTCAAAACTATCTGGTTCCAAATAGGGCGGTTTGCTGTGCTTTATGGCCGATATGATTTACTGGTTGACCTCAAGCCATCATCTGGCCCGGAAATCTGTCTCTTTTACATGTACTTATATAATAGGTCTTTCTCAACACATGGCTTGCCATGACTGACAGCCACTGAACATTTGATATAGCTATAGAAATTGAGGCATTTGCCTACTTGGTTCAAGTTTTCTATTATATACACACATGATGAAATCAGGATTCGTTCTTTGTATTTGTCATTACAGGTTTTCCAGCTGGAACGAACGACTTCTTTTTGAGGATCACTGTGGTAGTTGACGTTGGAAAAGATTTGTTGTGTACCTGAATATTGATTGTTAGTTCAAGTAGCACAAATATTTCGCAGTGTAATACTTTACAGCATGGCTTGCGCTTGATGGTTGGTTCTCAAGAGGTTTCTTTTTAGTGTTGAGGGATTTCTTTAGATCCTCTTGTGATAAGTGTCGTACTGCAATGGGTTTTGATTGATCCCGCAGCTCGTTCAAAACCACGTATAATTTGTAGGAAGCCTAGAGGAGCATCGTATATTCAGCGTTGGCCATCAAATGCAAATGTAACATCACTTACATAAGCATCGAGGGCAGCATATTTGATCTGTGTGTTTGATAGATCTGGCCTGCTCCAGTTACTGAGTCTAACCTTCCCCTTCGCCATATTTTGATCCAGCTATAATCAGCAACATGATGAGCTATCTAACCATGGAGACTATGATGATTGCAACTCACAAAGATGCCAGTTAATGCACGCAATGATCGTAGGTGAGATATCTTGAGCTTGGGTGATTTCACTGATTCGGCAACATCTCTAAGCTCCACAAGGCCATTTGTTTTGATGCCAAAATCACGGTACAGCTTGAGTCCATCAGCTCCAATATTAACGCCACTCTTCAGCACTTGTTTATCTTCAAAGAACCGTTTCAATTCACTAGGGAATCCTTCGTTTCGCAAAGGAAACTGGTTAGATTTCCAATTTTTGTGGCATACAAACAGTTTTTACCATGCATTCGGCCAAGTTGGAGCAATAAAATGTTGTTTGCTGAACAGATCTGAACTAGAGATGTCTTCTTTTCAGACTGGCCTTTGATAAAAGTGGGTGGCCACTCCAAATCGACTCCAAATATCTTTTCAGTCTTTGTCATTTGGCGCAGACGCCTGTTTGCTTCATCCATGTTACCAATGCAGTCTACTTGATAAAAGTTAGGGTAGATCAAAGTAGGCAGAGAATCCAGATATGTGTTGAAACGGGCATTGCTCGCTCGTTTTTCCTCTGCTGCTTTCTGTCTCTCCAATTTCAAACGCTCCTTCTCTATGGCCTTTTGATCTAATTGTGTGATGGTAGCATGTCCTGGGTACGGTATTGTAGTGGGTGATGATACGTTGATGATTTTCTTTGTGCTTGAGCTGACCGTGCTATTTCATTCACTTTAACAATCAGGCAAACGTCAGCAATCCACCTTGTGCAGATTTACCTTGTTGACATTTCAACTTTCAACGTAGTGATGGATACGAGTTGGATACAAGATTTGGGTAAATGATATCTATTACACTGACTGATGATTCTATTAGACAGTGATATCATAATCTTGGAAGAAAAGAGAAATAGAAGTGGGAAGGAGAGGAAAGAAGGTATCAAGCTTTATATTTAGGCAAGCATTCAAATTTTAGACCTGAGCAATGTGACAGCTTACATCAAGCCATTTCGCAGCTGAAGGCTGTAATGCATCGATTCTTCTAAACAACCCATGTGCCTTGTCAATGTACATTTGCTCTTTATGAATCTCTTTTTTTTATTGAAACGATTACTTTAACTCAACAAAAAATGCCCATCTACCTTCCTGTAAGCCCTTGGCAGTGTCTTCCAGTAAGATTTCTCTTCTTTGCTTGACATAGACAGTTTTGTCCAGAACGGCCTGTCTCAACTCTGAAATCTTCTCTGGCTCCAATGGCTTTTCCAATAATTCTGATAGCTGTTCAGTCGCCATTTCCAAATCCCGTTGATTATCCTACAAGATACGCACAATGAGCTCATGTTGGCATAGTCCGTGCAGTACACATCTTACCTCGAATAGCTCTGTTTGATTGGTTCTGTCAAGGTAAAAGGCAAATGCGTATGTCCATTTCAAAGTAGTTCTGCTCTGTACTGTGACATCTACTGCTTTTTTGAGGAATTGCACTTCGATCCATGAAAGATCACTTGTTTGCTGCATCTCTTCCATCTTCTTTTCAGTCTTTTGATATAAATCTTGATCCAGTTTAGCAGATTGCTCATGGTTTGCATAACGATTATAATACTGCGCAGCGTCCAATTAGCCATTGTGCCTAGTATACGTCTGAATAGAATGCAAACTTACATGGAGGTATCTTTCTAAACTGGCTCTAGATTGTGTTTGGTTGTCCCTTGCTTCTTCGCTGCTCTTTTCGTCGTATCTGTTGCAGGTATACCAGGAAGTTCCGTGCTCTGACCAAGGACCTATAAACATGCTGTCAATAACACACTGGACCATCATTTGAGGCTCGTATACGGTACCCATGCAAACCCAACAAAACTCGTATCTACATTTTCTGCATGTCATATGATTACAACCACCATTCTTTTCAATTGTAGAATGACATTTGGGACATTCTTTTGTGTGAGCTGATATCCAATTAGCCGTCTCTGAGTCATCCTCACACTTTTGCAACCACTTTTTGACCAATACACAGATACAAGGTTGATGATCGTCTAACCCACAACCAAAGCAGAAGCGGCATGAACATTTGCATTCTACAGTTGGTACAATGGAGGTTAAACTAGTGCTTGGCACACTACATTCGACAGCATATTCACAATCAGGAGCTGGACACCATCTTAGAAAGTCGTTGTCATCCACAAATGTTCTGTTGAGTAGCTCGCGGTATTTGAGGTTCGTGTCATGGTCAACCAGCAATTCGACAGTCTTTTCGTCCACTATGACGGCACAATCGCTTTGAGGACACTGAATTCTTCGACTTTCGCCTTCTTCTCTGATTTTCTGAACAACATAGTGTGTGTAACATGTTCTGCAAAATCGATGTCCACATGAGACACTGATCGTTTCCATGTCAGGAGAGTCATCGCAGCAGATATCGCACATGAAATCGACACCAAGGTCCTTGGCCAAGACGATAGCATGCTTTAAATCGGACACAGACGATACGCCCGCTAATCTCAACACCTTTTCCGATGAATCCATGTACTGCTCAAACAGCTTTTCCTTGTTCCAACGAAAGTATCGCAGTAAAGTAGCAGCATCTTCTGTTGATAGTCCTATTCAAGAGGCAATCATATAAGCTTAGGAATTATAAGTAAACTGCGGATTGAAAATCAATTTACCTAAAATAAGAGACACCTGTGATACTTCTTTATCTTGCTTGCTCTTCAAATGAAGTGAGCCCAGGACATTGTAGTCCACTTGATAAGCTTTCTTGTGCTGCTTCTCTACAAACACATCGTCGTTCACGTCGTCGTTGCTGTTGTAGCCCTCACTCTCTAACATTCACAAAGGTTCAGTATGTATGTTCCCTCCCTCCTCCCCCCCGTATTTCAAAAATATCTATAAATTCCGTTAATATCTCTAGACGATTTGCATAGCAGCAAATATTTACATACCATTTCACATTTACCACTCATGGAACTGGCAAAGTCAGAGTCATCTTCGTACTATTTTTATTTTATTTTGGGAATTTTTTCCAATCAGTGAGTTGTGACAAGATCAAATTTCATGACTTTACCATGCATTCATCTTCGAAATCACTTTCAGAACCCATATTTGATTTGTATTTATTGTGCTGGTAGTGTTGTTTTCTTTCAAGAGGAAAAAAGAATAAAAAAGAAAGGAAAGGAAAGGGAAAAACAAGTCCTTAAAGTTTTAAAATGAGTTTCGACATCAAGCAGCAAAAGAAGGGAGGAGGAGTTGTTGTTGTTGTTTAGCTGTGTGTGTAATCCTGTAGTGCTATTTATGGACCAATAGACTCTAGGAATTCGCCTCTGGAAAGAGTTAGTATCCACATTACTAATTGTGCATGTATATCGCTGGGGAATGCCTTTCTGCATCCAATCCACATGCCATTCATGTCCTGATTCCTCGCTAAGGGGCTTCTTTTGATCATTGGGGCAGTACAGGGAGTTGATCGTGCAATAATTACGTTGTTTACAAAAGATCTGCTTGCCGAATGGACGACTAGACATCTCGCAGCATACAAGCAGTTATTCATTCAAGCTGCCACCCTGAGGAACATGGCTTTAAATCTGCTGCTCCTTGAAAAGCCTTCAGCTTAGCTTTGCTAAGAATCTTCTATTCAATCGACTGACAAATCCTATAATTAAGGTTCAGTGCCTGACATGAATAATGACATTCAGCAGGCTCTATATGGGCTGCTTGTGTTTGGGCTATTAAAGGCTAGCCAAATGGCTGAAATTTCCTTCCAAATTTGCTGAGAATAACGTCTTCTTGCCTAAATGCTTGCTTAGGTACTTGACCAATAATTGCCTTGAAGATGTAAATGTAGCTCTATTGAATGCTTGCAACGATCTATATTGGCTTGTTTGCAGCAAAGCTGGTACAAGGTATGATTTGCTAAATGTATGTAACAATTCAAATTTGCTGCAAACCCCTGCCATAGACTCATTGTACTGGGAATGCACGTAAAGAGCGTTAATGCTGTTCAAAACTACTTACTATTGAAGATTTATGCAAATCTGAATTGCGGTCATTTACCTTCTCACCAAAAAGCTCGCATCAGCTCATTGCAACACGTTTTAAGGCGGATTTATATTCCAAAAGGCCTGCAAATAGTACATGTCACTTGCTATATACTCTTCGTGCGATGCAGCACATCTAGGCCATTGGTTGCAGCTTTTTTTTACATATAGCCGTTTGGCGAAAAAGCCTCTCACTCCTCAAGTATACCTTAAATGAGGGCCAAATTGTGTACATTTGAGCAGCAATTTTTTGTGCCAGAGGCTGCTTTAAGCCTCGAGAATAGCACCATGCAGTTGCTCTCAGATGGCACTTACTTGCTGGCACCTTTGCTCAGCTTTTTTGGGACCTAAAAGACATCATCCAAAATCGACCCAAAACCATGAGGTATCCCTCATGGTAAACATCAATAAATCAGTTGATCGTGTTTTTGTCCCTAAAAGAGAAGACTTTTACCATGGCATATATAGATTCAAAATGTTTCCCTAGATCCAGAGCAACCCCTGAAAGTTCTTTTGTAAGACCCTAATATACAAAACCTCGACATTTTGGCCAAAAACGTCATTTTATAATTTTTAAAATTGCTCAATAAGTTTGTTCAATACATCTATTTTAGTTAGCATCATTGGATGCGCCTTGAAAAGTACTTTAGGAATGCATTAGGAAGTATGGGTGATTATCGCAACTTGCATAGTCGGATTTGGCAAAATAGTTCAAACAAGTCGAGAAAAGATCAGATTTTGTCCAACCCAAACTTCCCCTGGAACCAAAAAATTAGGCGGAGCGTTAATTTATTTTGGCCTGCTGTCAATAATATTGCCTTCTTCATGAAAGAAATGATTTTGAGGCGAATAAAATGAAGATTGTGAATTGAAAGATATAATAATAGCCTATTCCAAACAAGTTTTATTGCTTCTCTGTACAATGCTCTATCTAATATATTTAAATATTGCAAAATGCTCACTTGGGTGCGAATGATCATCTAAACGCAAATCCTAATGTTAACTACAACACTGATATCAAGTTTTAACAAAAAATTGAGAGGTACCGTTGTTGGTCGGTAAGTAAACGTAGAGAGAGATAACGAGAAATCCCTTTCATTTTGTCTTCAGATAGAAGGGGTTTACAGATGCTCTTTCGAAGGCATTTCCAAAGCCATGCTTATGCTAAAGAATGAAACTGACCCCATTTCAGTGGATAAATGTTTAGCACCGCTTCTTTGATCACGTATTTTCATTCAAGTCAGGCATTGAATCATAACGAAAAAATGTAATGAAAACAATAGGCAACGGGTCCTCGTGCAAATCTAAATCTGATGTCTAATCGATAATCGACAAGATGATAGCTTTTTCGTTGACCAAACAAAGGACCAATACTATATGTCGGGATTGACTGTGGATCTTCATGGTAGATCCTGAGACCCAAAAAAAAAAAAATTTCTGCGATCGTTCACATACAGAATTACCAAATTGGACCTTTTTGGTTTGAACGAAGGTTTAATTTACTCTAGTATCCCAGACTAAACCTTGTAAAAACAAGGGACACGATAGATCACACATTGAATTCAAGCAATCATGTCAAAAACAAGAAAAGAACAGTTTTATTTTTTTGAATTAATACCATCAGCCTGTTGAAAAGAAGATGATAACTGGAAATAATGACAAAAGCAAAGGAGGAAAGATTTACATGTGGAATAGGAGTTATAAGAGGAGAAACTGACAAGAAGGGAGGATACAATGAGCCTGCTCATACGAATTTGGGTGGAATAGGATTTCTTTAGTTTTAAAGAGGTATTGCTGTAATTGCTGTTGTGATGGATTGAAGTTAATTGAGCATGCAACCATATTCTTCACGCAAATTGTAGAAATGGAAAGAACCGATGTAATGGAACTAAGAGATAGAACAAACGTCAGTATATGCGGCAGGTCAATTTACATGAGACGATCAAAACTTACAAAGATTCCTAAACAAACAAATACATGCCAGATGGCATGACTTGTCATACCTGCAGCATCAAATCTACCGGGAAAAAACTTTTCAGGGAAACGTTTACCATAGACAATGACACCACAAATGTACATGAGAGCACCAAGTAAAGCGGGCTTGAGGAAGGCTCCTGTTGCAGTGGTACCCTTGACTGTAGTTAAATGCAGTAGAGGGACAACGCTGGAAAATGCCATGGCAACGAAAAGCCCGATACGGAGGGGTCTGTATCTTTTAGTGTCGAAAAAGCGAAAGAAGGGTAAGATGACACCAATAAGTCCAATCAAGCAACTAAACAACATGTAGCGTGATCGAGGAATGGGATCGCAGTAGAAACCAAAGTGCACAACCATTGAGATAGAAGCAGTGATTAGAAATGTGATGCCGATGTAATCCAATGTCGCTGTAAAACTCTTGATGTGATGGGCCGAGTGGCAAACAAAAGTATGGTAAATCGATGAGCACAAAAGACATGTCAATGAAGCTAAGCAAAAGGCTGTGAACATGACCAAGTCTTGAGTAGAAGCATTAGGAAACTTTCTCTATTAAATGGCTGTCAGTGATAAGTTCTTGTAAAAAAGAGTTGAGATGGTGGAAATCATACCTGGAATACATTGACCGAAAGATACAAAAAGAAAAAGAAACCAAGTAGATGGCTCCAGATGTTCATGGTTTCATTGTGCAATGTGAATAAAGATCGCAGGCAATCCTTACTATTGCGATAGAAACGATAGCCAGACAAGACATACTGATTTTCTTGTCGATCCTTGGGCAACTCTTCAATCAAAAGCAGACGCTTTGAACCGAGCATCAAGGCCTTTGCTGTATCCCATGTCTCATGGATTTGGCCATCCATGTACTCCAAAAACGAGGGGTCGTCATATTCGTCCTTTGTTTTCAATTTATTGTTGACAGTGGCCAAGATCTGAGCTGCCAGAGAGGAACCTGGAACAACAGATGTCGAAAATGAACGCCCACGAGTGTAGGGAACTGTTAAACTGTCTTTTGCTGAAGAGGCAGAGATGACATGGGATTGTGAGTATCGACGCAAGTGGAGGTTGCTTTGATCTGATAGTAAATCATCCCCTAAAAGAGGTTGTTCTGCCATCTGTGGAGGTGCCATGCTGCTTCAGGATTTTCTGCTGTGTATAGAAATTCTCGGGAAGGAAGGTTGATGAATCAAGTAATGTAATTTGATTCTACAGATATATATATATATATATACACTTGTCAGTCTCGAGAAAAAAATCCAAAAGATCAAGTGAAACAAAAAGAGTTGAAATAGAAGGAAGGAAAGAAAAGAGGATCAAGCTGAATTGATTAGGCTTGTTTATATACCAACAGGAAACCAGGAGAGAAAGATGACCAGTGAGGTACCTTCTTTCACAAGATTCCCCCCAAACGGTGTTGTATGCTGGCCAATCGGATACTGACGCAGAACTGGTAAGGTACTACTCTTTTGTTTATGTTTGCTCCCTAATTCATTGATTAGATCCAGTCACCGTCAAGGGTCTGTAATGGTAGTGCCAGTTAAGGATATCGTTTTGAAATTCATTATTCTTAATGTTTATTGCGATGATGCTTACATTCATTGTCTGTTTGGATGGATAATGAAGTAAGATTGAGAGGGCTAGGGATTATTTTGCTTCTTTCTTTCTTTCTTTCCTCTCTCGTTTTTATTGATTATTTTGCAACATGATTACTCCAACAGCTTCTACCTCATCATCATCAATTGCTACAGCAACAGCAGCAGTAGCAGCTTCAACATCTGGAGCAGATGGTTCATCTCCGACTACCAGGTATTGAGAACCCAAAACCGAATCGTATCACAGCTAGTGAAACAGGATACTAAGAAATGTGCAATGTAGCGTTGTGCTGAAGATGGGTATTATTGGAGATGCGCAGATAGGCAAGACCAGCTTGATGATAAAATATGCTGAGGGAGCGTATGATACAGAGTACACTCAAACATTGGGTGTTAATTTCATGGAGAAAACGATTCTTATCCGGCAAGCAGAAATTACATTTAGTATATGGGATTTAGGAGGTAATAAAGTGTGCAAATGTGTGTGCTACCATGGCAAATATATATTAACATGCGTAACTAGGTCAAAAGGAGTTTGCTAGCATGCTACCACTCGTGTGTAGTGATGCGGTCGCTATTCTATTTACATTTGATTTATCAAGAAAATCTACTTTAAATAGCTTAAGGGAGTGGTATAGACAAGCTAGAGGTTTAAATAAGGTAGGTTGCATGTTGCCAACAAACATGTCATTTTGCTAATATAACACCTCATGGCTAGAGCGCTGTGCCTTTGTTAGTGGGCACGAAATACGATGAATTTGTCAATTTGTCAGACGCTGATCAGGAGGAGATTACTCGACAGGCGAGAAAATACGCAAAAGTGATGAAGGCGCCTTTAGTTTTCTGCTCGACAGCAGAGTCTATCAATGTACAAAAGATATACAAAATTGTGCTGGCAAAAGTTTTTGATTTGAACTGCACTTTGGCAGAGATTTCAGACATTGGAGGACCAATTCTCGAATACAAGCATTGCTAATTAAGCATTTATTTTTAAAACAATTTCAATCAAATAAATCATTCGCATATATGTCTATTCATGAGATATTAATAGCGAAATTCAAGGAGTGGGGATTGTCAAACTATGAAAAGAGTGGCGTGTGAGATGAGATATGGAACGGGAGATGTTCTATACAAAAGTTGAAGCGAAACCAGCCGCATAAATGTATAAAACACAACTTTAAATAGACCATGAAATAGGGACACGGCCTTCGCTAAGCTTTGCAATCTTTTCGAATGCGGCTCTGCTCATGTCAACATCGCCTTTTTTGCATCCAGGACAAGTGTCGACAATCTTCAACTTGACAGATCCGTGCTTGCCTTTAACAGTAATGTATTTACCGCAATGAGAGCTCTTCTTGGAGCCAGAGCCCATCAATTCAGCAGAAATCGCTGCAACAAACTCGTTATCAGAGTTTGAGCCTCCACAGGAGCCGGATCCTACAGAGTAAAATGTGGCATCTCCAGACATTGAGCTGCGAGTTTGAAGAGTAGGAGCTGCTTGTGAGGACATGAGCAATGCTGAAGCTACGAGCATAGAAATAATAGAAGTTGATAGAAGCTGCATAGCCAATGTAATGTATGGTGAAGACAGACGGCCGGCGTGAGGTGAAGTATAAAAGTTAGAAAAGAAAAGAAAATACGATAAATGTCAAGTTACATACAGTATTTATATCTCAATTATCTGTGATATGTACCCTTGAAAGCGATAATGACTCCAGCAGCAGTACAAGACGCATTGCAGGCAGAGAAGCATTATGATTTAGGGGCGTTGAAGGGGTTCTGGAACTGATATGAAGTGTTCTCTTTTGATTTAGTTAATAATCAAACAGAACGGAGTTGCTGTCAATAGTGTTGTGTAATGATGGATATCATAGTCCACTGTCTGTCTATCCTCTTTCTTGTCTTAGAAGCATGCATTTTTCAAGTGTCTTTACTTTAAGAGATGTGCATGTATTGTTAATGCTTGATTCACAATTGAGTTAACTCCAGGGACAGTGATTATTGTCACAAAAATTGAAGTCTGAACAACACTATCGTATATGGGAAGGCTACATCTTTTCATAATAATTTCGGTTTATTATTCTAATAATTTCGGTTTATTATTCTAATAAACTGCTAATACTTAGTGCCATGAGGAGATGCAACATATGGCAGGATGCATGTGTTACACTTGATATTGAACAAAGATTTTCGTCACTCAGTGAAATGTAATGCGAAAACAAAACAGAGATGTATAATCCTCATATTTTGTCTCCAACTATTTCACTTCTGGTTGGATATCTTCGCATCCTACCTGAACGAGTTTTCTTGAATCCGAAACACTTGAATGAGTTGCTGTGTTTTATTAGCTCAAGTACAATACACTATATGAATAGCATCTTCTACGCATGAACATACGCATTCAAGCACAACATATGCAAAGACACATCAGCGTCGAGGTGAGCAAATGCTATATGACTAGACCTTTATTTCTCCATCGCCATCATGCCAGCAGACACAAGTCCTAAAAGGAGTCGAAACGTTGTGCTTTTTCATGAAAGCAGGTACTGTTTACACTTGATCATTCAAGCAGATGAACAATAACATAGGAAAGGCAAAATCTGATGTAGATATACATACAACACTATTACTTTGCATATACATAAAAGAAAGCCTGCAAATAAACATTAGGTGATATATATTCAAGCTTGTTTTTCCCATTGGATGAAAGGACATGCAACAAACCATTTGTTGTTACGTATTACATTCATTGATGCTAACAGACTTGCATCCAGAAGGTGAATCAGGAACAACAAACAAGAAATATCAACTTAGCGTACAAGCTCACTGCCTGTAAGCATAGCAACCTGTAGGCTCCTTTACTTGTAGACCTCAAAAAGTAAAAAGACTTTCTATCTGTTAATCATGAAATTGCATATGATAATGGTACAAATCACAAAGACGATATAGACTTTCAATGACCAAATTAAGACTATTTTATTACATAAGTCTTTGGGAGTATAAAAAAATAGCAAAATAGGCGTGCACATCCATCTGCAAGATACTCAAGTGTGTTTGTTTGGCATATGAAAGTCAAACTTTCTTGTTAAAGACGTAAGGATTCGATCCAGTTGCAAGTGGAGAACATAAATGGCCTATCGCTTTCATATCCGTGTAACTGCACAGCATGTTTGCAATAATTTCATATGTAAGAGGCATATGAATATTGGCATTCACGTGTCAGACTTATAAAATCAAGCAGCTATATATTTGAAATCTTTTTTTTCTTCCTATTACAACATTTGAAATTTCTTTTCTCTCTATTTTGTCTTAAAAAAAAAAAACCTACATGTCAATCAATTGAATATAACAATCAATTCAATGGTAGATTTTACAAGAGAATTTTACGATTCTGATCCATTGCCTCGAACGAGCTGGAAGCCATTTTCACCAACATCTTCATATGATTCCTGTATAACAGATGAAGGATATCACACCGATGAAAAACCATATCAAAACAACAATCATCATCAACAGCAAAACAAACATGACAACGAGATACCCATTCTAAAAAGCAACCGCATTATGTATGTATAAACTATCAATAATCCTTGATAGAACACTAACAGCTTCCATTTAGTCAAATATCCTATTCACCATTGACTTATACCCTCACATTATCTATCATCGTACTATCTATTCATACTATTTTGCTACAGCCATTTCCATGGGGACATACATTTCCACCTATCTTTGTTTTATTCCATTTATTGTTCCATGTTGCACACTTATCAGCTCATATGTTTAGTTGGCTTCAACTGGAACGCCACTGTGTTGTTTATGGCACATGGCTGTATTGGACTGGCTGGCTACTTGGCACCTTATTGTTTTCTGAACGCCTGGCAGTGAATATCGCTCATAATGCTTCAACAACAATTCTATTTTGGCTCCTTATGTTAGAAAGAAGAAATGCTTGGGGCATCATTGTTTGGGAGTTTGTTAGTAGATTAGATCAAAATCTAAACTCCTCGTCCTCTGCTGGTAGCAATCTGGAAACAACAAGGCCTCTCAAGCTGTGGGAACTTGGCAGCTTTCGTCTCTTGGTCTTTCGCATATGGTGCTTACTAGGCACCGGTAGCTTCTGGGGTTTGTCCTATATTGGCCTAGCCAAATTAGATGGCTATGCCTTCAAATATCTGCTACAAATTCATCACATTATGAAATTGTTGCTGGTCAGCACAATGGGTGGATTTATGATGATTATCTTCTGGAGCTTCTGGACTTTTCAATACAAAGGTGTCTTGTGGCAGAAGGAACTAAGGAAAGGTATCATTGTTTGGTACAGCGAAGGTGTTGCTCATGCTGCCGAAGTTTTGTAATTAGTTGAATCTTGTACTGTAAATAATAAAAATGTTTGGATTCATTGGGAATCTTGCTATTGTTGCTGCTGCCTAATCTTTGGTGTAAATTGCATACATAAAACCTTTGCTCTCGATCTTGTGAAAATTAGACATTTGCTTTGTAATATCGCAATTCTTCCGATTCACTGAAATAGCATTGTCATCGTACCTGGATCACAGAAACCATTGGCTATTTCTTGGCGATAGAAGCCGATTTTTTGCCTAATTTATACCTCTAAACAGTAGGCATTTTAGTTTTTCATTAGTGCAACAAGAGTTTAATGAAATGCACACAGTCAATTGAACTCTGAAAGCTCAAAATTTGTGCTCTAACCAAAAAAAAAAGAACATTCTTTCAATGCATATGGGTGGGGTTGTTTTGCTTGCATATGCTCATTTGCCACTCAAATTGCACCTGCTAAACTCAGCCATGTTCAACTCTCCAGTTTTTGACATCTTACAGTAGATAAGCAACCCCAAAAAAAAAAAAAAAATGGACCGTACCCGGCGTGTTGTTAAACAAAATATAAGCTTTTGATCTGTTTTATACTTACAGGACTGATTATTAAAAATGCCCCTGACAACAAAATAGACATTTCAAAATCATCATTAGGAAGATACAGACATCTACCGCAATTAACTTAATATTTTTCGTATATTGAGTATAGTTTTTAACCGTTAAAGGTTCCTGCTGCTGTAAAGCAGGTATCTTGAGGATAGGAGGAAGGTTTTGTAGCTGTGTTGTGTAATTAATCAAAAATATTGCTGCCACAAACTAGCTCCGTTACATGAATCCATCTAGTTGTATATTACAGCCTACTGTACTAAACCATACCTACCAGGTGTCGAGCTTGAATTAGTTTCCATGGCATTTTTTAAGGTGTATCCAATGGTGCTATTTACTCACACTTTCCTCAGCATGAATATCGCACAGTTTACAAAAAATTTGTAGCAAATAAGCAAGTTAGATGTAAGCAGGTTTTCAATAAACAGTTGAGAATGGCTTAACCGCTATTGATGATAGTCGCAATGGCATTATTTGAGATGCTAATTGTTGAAATAAAAAGTACGATCAAGAGATTTATATGCCAAATCATAAACAATCTCTCATGAAAGTAGACAAAGAAGCATCAATCGTCCTTGTTAGCGACAAATACAAGTGATAAAAAATAGATGTTTGTCGAGTTGAGTCAATCTCGTGCAGATACACGCAAGTAATCATGGCAAGTACCATATGAAATCCAAGATTCGATGCGCTATAGGACCTTGAAACTGTCATTGACCTTGAAATGGCTTGCTGTGCCAATTAGCAGCTTAGTGAGCCGATGCTATATCTCTTTAGCCCGAGACAACGTCAGAGCTTAAGCAAATCGTGCCCTGGGTTGCCATCATCTATCTAAAATCTAAAATATATATACTGGAAAACTATGAAAAAAAAATAGACAAGCCAATCATATCCTTTTAAAATTTAATAGTATTAAAAGCCAGAACAAACGAGGGCATAACCACCGGCGAAGCCGGCAATGGGGAGGGGGTTTGGGGGAGGGGGCTTAGCCCCTCCACCAAGAATATAAGGCACCAAAAAAAAAATTTGATACATTGCTTTTTGTTATTATACGTACGTAATAATATGCCTCCTACTATTCAAACAAGACACTGCACGACCTGTAGAGCTGCTCTTCCAGTAGACTATGCTTATCGGAAATGTGATTCATGTCGAGTAAGTAAAATGGCTTTTAACGCCTAATAAAACCCTGAGACGCAATGGTTTATTTTGTTTGTACTCAAATTCAGGAACGAGCGCGAAATTACGCCAGGCAAAGAAGATTGGCGAATCGAAGAACACCAAGAGCACCTGCAGCGTTTGTATCAGAACTTGGAAGAGTACAACGTTCAGATTTGGGCAGAATGGACAACCAATGTGATGGATGTGGAGCTTTGCATTGGGCCGCAGAGAGGGCTGTTCAACAGCGAGTAAACGACAACTGCTTTCATGCTTGCTGCAAAAAAGGTAGAGCTGTCTTGCCCCTTTTGCAAGAGCCTCCCGAGCCTTTAAATAGCTTGATCAACGGAAGCCATCCTCGATCCTCTCATTTTTTGCAGCACATGCGACAATACAACACTTTGTTCGCATTTACATCATTTGGCACCGATGCTACGCCTGAGCAGCTCCAAAGGGATAGAGAGAATGAGATGAGAGGCGGCATCACGCCGGTTCGTGTTCATGGGGAACTCTATCACTTGCAAGCACCACTAAATTTGAGCAATGTGCCAAAGTATAGCCAGCTGTACGTTTACGACCCAGAGTATGCCGCTGCGATTCGCTGTGCAGACCCCAGAAATCAAGGATTGGACGACACGATCATTGAGCAACTGAGTGAAATGATTGCTGATCCTGTAGTTTGTGGCAATCCATTTGTAAGCATCTACAAACATGCTCACGAAATCCTGAAAGAAGAAGAGGAGAGGCAAGCTCAAGATGGTGTTAGCGAGAATGCTCACATCAGGCTCAGTCCTCAGATGCAAATGGAATTGGTTGTTGGCCAGGACAGACGCACTCAAAATCTGCCAACTGTCAACGAGATTGCTGCCATCATTCCAAACGAGTGTTCTGACAGGAGTTTCAGAGATATTTTGATCACATATCGTAGCAATTCCTCGGCCAGGGCTCAAGGCCAGTTTAAGCGTATCAATGAGACGCATGCTGCATATATGCCTCTTCATTATGCTTTGCTTTTTCCTAGAGGTGAATATGGGTGGAATTGGGGCCAAAGACTGCAATCGTCAGCGCAAACTGCTGATGCCATGATTATTGAGAGCGAAGAAGATGAGACACCAGCAGAGCAACAACAACAACAACAACCACAAGTGTCAGATAGCCGACTTACCCAAGGCGTGTTCTACAGATTTCGATTGCATGTTAGAAACAACGAGTCAAAGATCATTTTTTTGTCAAGACGTCTATTTCAACAATATGTGATTGATGCCTGGGCAATCTGTGAGCAAACAAAACTGAACTGGATCAAAGTCAATCAGACGAATCTTCGCGCTGATGTGTATAAAGGACTTGCTGATGCTACCTCTGCTGCTGACTCAGACCTCGAACAGGTGGGAAAGACGTTCATCTTGCCCAGTAGCTTCACTGGTGGACCGCGATTCATGATGCAGCTATATCAAAATGCAATGGCTATCTCTAGATTCTTTGGTAAGCCAACGTTATTCATCACATTTACTGCCAACCCAAACTGGAGGGAGATCCAAGATGAATTGTTGCCAGGCCAAACAGCCGCTGATCGCCCCGACTTGGTTGCTCGAGTATTCAACCTTAAGCACCGAGAGCTGCTTAAAGACTTGAAAGACAGAAAGGTCTTTGGCTGTTATAAAGGCATTGTAAGGACTATTGAGTATCAAAAGCGTGGTCTCCCTCACGGTCATATGCTATTGTTTTTGGATGCAGAAACAGATAGATTTGATACGCCAGAGAGGATTGATCAGATCATTTGCGCTGAGATCCCAAATGTTGAAGAAGAACCTGAATTGCATGCAATCATCACTCGCAATATGATGCATGGCCCATGTGGCGAGCTAAACTCAAAGTCTCCGTGTATGGTACAAGATGCTTTTGGCAATGATGTATGCTCAAAAAAATTTCCCAAAAACTACCAGACAGTAACGGTGACCAGTGCTGATGGTTATCCTACTTATAGAAGAAGAAGAGATGGTCGTTCTCATCAGGTGCGCGTCAAGGACAAGTTGGGTGTCTACCGCGATTTCCACATGACGAATGAGTGGGTGGTGCCATACAACCCTTATTTGTCAAAAAAATACAATGCCCATGTAAATGTCGAAGTATGTGGTAGCGTCCAGGCAATTAAGTACATCAACAAGTATATTTACAAAGGCTCTGATCAGACAACGCTCAAAACTACAACCACCACCACAGCCACTGAAACAGCAAATGCCACTACCACAGCAACAACTCAGAATAACGAAGTGGCCAAGTATCTAAATGGCCGTTATATTAGTCCTGTTGAAGCTGCATGGAGGTTGTTTGAATTCCCAATGCATGAGGAAAGCCCATCTGTTACTCCACTTGCTGTGCATCTTGAAAACGAGCAACCTGTTTATTTTGATCCCCAATGGCCACAGGAGAAAATTGACAAAGTATTGAGAGAGAGTCGCTCTACTTTGATGGCTTACTTTCATTACAACCATGCAAATCACGGCAAACCCGGTTTTCGACCGTTGCTTTATCAAGAGTTCCCTGAACATATGACTTGGCAGCAGAATGCAAAAAAGTGGAAGCCTAGGTCTTCGAGTAGAATGTCAATTGGGCGCATGTATTACTGCAATCCTGCTGCCGGTGAGAGGTATTATCTGCGTCTGCTGCTCACAGTTGTCAGAGGAGCCATGTCGTTTTCTCATCTGAGAACTGTCAATAATCACGAGTACGCCACCTTTCGCGAGGCCTGTATGATGCTGCATTTGATCGAAGATGATGGAGAATGGACCAGAGCCTTTGAAGAAGCTGCTACCTTTGCCTCTGGCTACGCAATGCGTTCAATGTTTGTCTCTGCGCTCATGTTCAACTCATTGGTATCGCCTGTTCAGATTTGGGATCAATTCTGTGAAAGTTTCTGTGATGATCTTGAGCATGCAATCGTGCAAAAAGGGTATTCGCTGCTGCTCAGCGTGCAACCTGACGCTGAATTTTACCATGGAACGCGAAGTCTTGATTACGGCTTATATCTGTTGCAAACATCTCTTGGTGCACAAGACAGATCTCTAGGTCAGTTCAATTTGCCTTTGCCTCTCTTCAACTGGAATGGCTTGATAAGCAGAATGACTGGCATACAGCGCAATTCATTGATACTCAATGAAATGTCATATCTCCAAGATCAAGAAGCCTTTTCGTACCAGCAAAAGTACGCTCAAATGAACGCTACCCAGAAGCACGTATTTGATACCATCACCTCCTC